GAAGGTTTTAGGTTACACAATAAATGTACTCACCAAAACCTTGTATATTTATGTAGTGAACCTGGTGTATTTATGTTGTGAACCTGGTGTATTTATGTTGTGAACCTGGTGTCTTTATGTTGTGAACCTGGTGTATTTATGTTGTGAACCTGTATTCCGTAAATCTTGATTAGCCACAATAATTACGCCGTCCATTTTAAAGCTGAAATCTTCCATGCCCCAGAATGATGATACACTAGAAGATATTTGCTCAAATGTCAGGTCAATGGTTATCCCTGGTGGCGCAGAGTATGTCCTCGATTGACTGTACAACAAGACGTCTTTGCGACAATTAATTTCGGTCCACAATCTGGTAAGTACCTCTGGTGCAGCACTTGCAATTGCTTGTGGGTTTCTTTTATTGTGGTAGTCAAGATTATTAATTCTCTCGCTGTAAGCCTCAGTTTCGAAAAAGCTCTAGAAAAAATGCCTAGTGGAATAAGATCAGAACATTTTATGAGAGTGTGTCCATTTCTGCAAATCCATCATTCTAGAATTAGACTATTTAATTCGTCTCGACCATGTACGGAAAGATCTGCAACATGTGCAAGTCAGTTTCAACAAAACGCCAAAAAATCTTATTACTCATTAGATTCCCACAGCTGAAATTAAAACACTTACTTTAAGAGAATCTTGAGTGTATCATTAGGGAATTCACAAAGTGTAGCGGAACTCTCATGTACTGATTAAAATCTCATGCACATAGTATTTTTGAATACATGAATTATATTAAAAAGCTTTCAATTTGTATCAGGTAATATATAATTTGCAGAAATCTCGTGAAACCCCATTATTCATTCTAAAAAAAAAAAATATTGTAGTTGAGGTTTTAGGTATTTTAAGTAACGTACTAATGTTTCTTAAAGGATAACCCCCAAAACGCACTAACCAGTCAAACCTCACAAAAAGTAACAAAAACCACTAAATTTCTTAATAGGGATAGTTCCAGCTTTAACTGAAAAATGATCTCGTTTCCTCTCCATTATCACTCCCAGCTGTTACAGACAACTAACCCTAACTCCCAAACGAGTTACCACCTTCACCCCTCCTTCTCTTTATTGTAGATAATCAATAAAGCTCACAGGCCAGAGAACGTAACATATCAAGAGGAGCTAATATATTTCTGGTTTCGTTCTAGTTTAGGGAATTTCACTCAAGTACATAACTTATCACATTATTTGCTAAAGTGAAGCTCAGGAATTCATTTAATGTGGTATATTTTATAGTTCATCATCTATCACATACTTATTTTCAGTACCTGCGGATCTTTGGAGCAATCAGTTCGCCCAAATCTCGCCAAATGAGAACAATCTAAACACAAAACATGTTTGGCTACAATTCAGCAATTACCACGAGAGCACAATTTTCTGTCCTTATATTACCGCCATATAAATTCAACGAGATAGAACACTGGATAATACACTGTACTTTGTAAAGGTTTTTGGACGTCTCAGCAACTTCAGTCACAAAGCACTCACATGTTTCGTGACATATGCTCCTGAATATCTTCGGTTTACGCAAAGTCCTTCTGCGCTGGCTCATCAGTGGCCGAGGTGTTAAAGACTACTAAATACTGGTAGTATTCTCCGCTTACGAACCAAGTTAACGGACTGGCTGAGTGGTTGGTTGATTTTCGCGGGTTTTCCCCATTTGTAATGTGATTCTTTAGAAATTCCTCCTTGAAGGAATCGTTCCTCTTAGGCATGTACTTATCCATATTCAAATAACCAGCTAACATTCCGGTATTATTTCCCGCAGGTACTGAGTGACTGTTATTGATTTTCACCATTTTATTGGCCCCTCTTATTTGGCCCTTAGTATGTTTGACTAGATATTTTGAGAAAATCTTTCTTATAGAACCCCAGTTCCAATCGTTAAAAGTTATTCCAATCGATTGTTGTATGGTTATAAATATCTAATTGTTTTAAATATTGTTATAAATATCTAATTGGTCAATAGTGAATAAAATGCAATGCCGTCTTAAAAAGGATTTTTAATCCATGAAACCAATTTACTTCGAGAATTCTCTTCTTTTTTTAAAGACTTTTTACTTGTACAGTGTTAAATAATTTCGGTCCAAAGTTTACTTTTTCGATTATTTTCATAAAGAATAACAGAATTCCCTTCTTTTGGAAGAACAGCGTTTGTTTTTTCAGTCGGTGGAAAACTAAAAATAGTTAACATGTTTGTACAGACATTTCATTTTCCGGAAGAAGAAATACGAAGATTCAGCCATACCCTCAGCACGCTTCTAACCATGACCATCAAACTGCTAACTGGATGTGCTAACACGCAAGGTTAAATGAAATAATTCTATATATTCTCCTCCGGTGAAAAGATGATTGGGAAAAGGTATGCGACCCAGTCGAACACAAGAAAGTATTTATGTATACGTTTACCATGGTTCGAACCACGGATTTTATAATTGCTAATTCGAAATGCTACCATTTACCCAGCAAAAGCACTCACAGGGTAATATGATAATTCTTTATATATTTATGAATAACATACATTGTTTAAAAAAAGCATATGTGGTGTTATTTTACTGAAGAACAACCACACAAAAAAGGTAATGCAGAAAACAGCCATACGTGAAGAAAATACGTGCAGACAGATGAAGCTTGTTATATTAGAGGCTATTATTTTTACAGATGAAATGTAAACTTAAAAAAAAAAAAAAAAAAAAAAAATCGTAAAATATCACTATAAGGAAGAAATGAAACACTAGAAGCTAACACAAGAGAAGAAAACAAAAGGACAAATACCAGAATTTTAGATATAGAGGTCATAAAATTTACCACTGTGAGCGATTTACAGCGATTGCCACAAAGATCTTCAAGTACTTAATTTTTGCTGATTTTCTTTATCGCATATCTCGGATTAAAGCCCGTTTAGTTCCAGTTGATGGCGATGAATTGAGTGAAATAAGTGATAGGAATTTCTTTGTTTACCAGTAAATGTAAAAAACTTATAACATTACACATATGTTACTACAATCTAGTAAACAGTAAGGCTCTTAATATTTTATCATTTGTGTGTCCGCCAGGGAGACAGTTTAATTTCCTACAAACAGCTTTTCCTTTACGCTTACGATTTGGCCATCTGTTTGAGCAAGAAGCTTAGTTTTAAAGCCTATACGCCAGCTTTCGACAAGTCGTTCTTTCCAAGATTAATTGCATCTGTCACTTGATTTAAACTGAAAGAATGCGATTAAGGAGAAACTTCCCAAACGTAAATATCTTTATTTCTTAAATTATAATTATTTACAAAGCAGCTTGATAACAATACAACACTTACTTTAAAATTTTATTTATTGCTTTGAAGATAAGTAAGTCATTTTAATTTTAATATTGAATTTAAATAATTCGTACGAGATTTTATTTTCGATTAAATAACTATTTTAAAATTTATTTCTTCTAATCTAGACTCTCTTAAATTATTTCAGAACTTAGATCATTCAATTTTATTGAAAAATGCAAAATGGAACAGAATAACCTGCACTTTTTATAATTTTTTTAGCTTATCTTCACGAATCTCACATTAATTAAAACTTTCATTAATTAATTTGTTCACAAAAATATTATTCAGTGTCTCAGAAGCAGATGACACTATTTTAAAAGCAATGGAAAAGTGGTCTTCTCTTTTTGGTTCTTTTATGTCTTTATTTTACAGCTTATGCATCTCTTTGTTTTACAGTACTACACATTTATTAAAGGTGAGAAAAAATGGACAGAAACTTAGCGGCCTTTCTCGCTCCCTTAAATGGTTAATTCACTTCTAGGATAGCAGTGGAATATGATCAATCCAGGCGCATTGACAACAAACAAAAAATAGTCATTCCCGCTCTGAAAAAAAAATATTAAAGACCTCTGTTTCTAGGTCATATTAGAAAAATAAATACATTCAATAAAAAGTTCTGTAAAAAAATAAAGGGACAAAAAGTTCATTTTTCAAATAAGAAGTTCCTATAAAGATTAGTAGAAACACGTTAAATGAGAAATCTTTCCAGATGAAATATTCTATGCGAAAAAACTTAACATTGTTGAAATGAAAAAATTTAGGCCTTTAATAAAATAAACTTTTTGATCGACAAAACTTCTTAAAGAGTTTTACTACGTGCTAAACGCATAAAATTTTCCCCATGTGCAACGTGTTTTCCCCCATGTATAACGTGGATACAAGTCTGTTTTCCTTAAGAAGTCCTCGAAGGAGCATCCCCCTTTCTCTGTAATGCTTAATGGCGGAGCATGTAATAAATAAATAAAAAAACACAAAAGAATGTAATAAGTATTCATAATATTCTACGGAATGACGTCTTCTCCCACTTTCTTTTCTTTTATATTATTATATTTATTATTGTATTTTATTTTTGTATAACGAAAGCCAGACACAGAACTGTATTTATGTATCGAGCTTTACTTGGATAGATTTCCTACACTGGCAATAATGATGACTTCAAAGAAAAATTTGTTTTAGTCAAATTATGAAAAAGATTTATCTACTGATACGTTTTACCTATATTTGCGGAATTATTTTCATTATTCAGTACATTCAATAACGAGGGGGAAAACTCTGCGGCTTTACACCGCTTTAGTATAATAATCATGCATGTCTTAAGTCCCGAACGTACCGGGTAATCGAACTTTTGCTGTATTCTTCTGGAATGCGAAATTTCTTGGGCACTGGAATATGTATAATGCAGTGGCAGATGATTACATAGAAAAACAATATTTAAGTCCTTTCATAGTGTTTCATAAAAGTTTAGTTGACAAACATCTGTTTATATCCCTTCTTATAAGAATGTTAAGTATTTTAGATAAGTTATTTCTCAAAAGCCATTGCTTTTCCCCTGGACGCTTTGCTCCAGCAGAAGTCAACGACTCGAAATCCCTGACAAGGACAGCATGTCCAAACAGTTAAATACCCCAGGGAGAAGGAAAGGATGGATAAATGAGGATCACCTTGGCCAGCTGTTCGGGTGGCACCGCAGTCTCTTGCTGCAGAGGGATGACTGGAATGATGTATCGACCGGCAGTCTCAGCAACTCTGGAATCCCTTAGACTCGAGCTCATGTCCACCATTCCTGTGGGGAATAGAAAAGAGAGATGGTTAAAGACACCTCATTTCTCAGGTGACTGGTTGGAAGGATTATAGATGTCACAAAATTACGACACCCAATAAGCAGTTGAAATTTTGCGGAGGTAGAGTCAATTTCCGATTTACAAAGGAAAGTCCACGATTAATTCCAAATCTCAGTTTAGAGGATATTTAAGAAAATCAGAAGAAAGTGGAATGCTATAATTAGCATAAAAATATTATTGGCCTGCACTTTCAAGCAGTTTAACCCCAAGAATAAGTTTATTTGGTTACATAAATTACTGCAGTGTTCAAAAGAAAACAGAACACATTGGAAAAAATGGAACAATAAACATCATTAGAAAGAAAGATAGAAAAAAAAAACTAAACTATAAATGGTACAAGTTTTCTTTTTCACTTTACATTTCATAGGATATATATATATATAATATATAATATAGTCTTTTATCGTTGTTCTCATGTAACGTAAAAAATACGTAAATCAAAATTCTAATTTTAATTTGCAATAATTTTCCTGCCTCTGTTTTAATTTTGCTGTTTCTCTTTTCTCGAATCTGTTTAAACTGAATTTGAAAATTAAAAATTAATTAATGTCATACGATCTTACCTAATGCCATTGATGCAGGCATTTACATAAACCCTTTAGTCAATCAAGGTAAATCAAACTGATTTTGGAAACACTAATTTACTTCTGTCCCAGGCTTTCTTCCTGAATGCATTGTATTGCTGCTCTTGCTTAAGACGATGCCGCTTACCCTGCGGTAGTGAAGGTAAATCAAACTGACCTAGCCAATCAAGGTAAATAAGACTGAGACTCCTTTTGGAAACTCTAGCTATTTTACTTCTGTCCCAGGCTTTCGTTTTAAATGCATCGTATTGATGCTCTTGCTTTCTTCCTGTTAAGATGATGCCGCTTATTAGTTATTTTTCATCAACCCTATTGTGATTAAATATAGAATAGGCAAAAAAGTTATCATTATGGGCACTTAGTAGATTCGGACGCGCAGACGGGTGCGCAGATGGACTCGAAATCTACTGGAGTTTCTCTGCATAGGTTCGAATTCTGTTCGACTACAAAATATATGATGATTTAGATGGAGAAGATTTAGGTTCTTTTAGTCGCAGCCGATGTTGTAAATTGTGATGGCGTCTAGATGTGTAGATATAGTTACCGTCAAATGTTAACT